ACCTCGTGTGTGTCCCTCCCCCCACCTCCTCCCCAGCCCCATCTCCTGGGGGGGATGGGGTGGTGGGTCGCGTCCATGTGTCCCCATGTCCCCCCGTGTCCCCCCTGCCCCCCAACCTCGAACCTGCTGCTTCTTGAGGAGGATGTTGACGCTGGTGAGGTCTTTGCCGTAGTCGTCGGAGCGGAGCTGGGCCCCCACCTCGGCCAACCAACCCCCCAGGGCGGCGCAGGCCTGGGCGCACAGCTCCGCCCGGTTGGCGTCGAAGAGCCGCCGGGCTTTGGTGCGGGTGGTGGTCTCCAGTTCCTCCCACAGACCCCGCAACGACACCAGTTTCTCCAGCACCACCTTCCCCAGCTCCGGTTTGGCTGCGGCCAGTTGGTGACCCTCCTTGGTAGAAGGGGGGGCAAGGGAATGAGTTGGGGGGGGGTTGGGGAGGTCAACGGAATGAGTTGGGGGTCAACGCGATGAGTTAGGGGTCAACAGAATGAGTTGGGAATGAGTTGGGGGTCAACACGATGAGTTAGGGGTCAACGGAATGAGTTGGGGGTCAACAGAGTGGTCAATGGAAAGAGTTGGGGGTCAATGAAAAAGTTGGGAGTCAACAGAAAGAGTTGGGGGACAATGGAATGAGTTGGGGGTCAATGGGATGAGTTAGGGGTCAACGGAATGAGTTGGGGGTCAACAGAGTGGTCAATGGAAAGAGTTGGGGGTCAATGAAAAAGTTGGGAGTCAACAGAAAGAGTTGGGGGACAATGGAATGAGTTGGGGGTCAATGGGATGAGTTAGGGGTCAACGGAATGAGTTGGGGGTCAACAGAGTGGTCAATGGAAAGAGTTGGGGGTCAACGGAAAGAGTTGGGGTCAACGGAAAGAGTTGGGGGTCAATGGAAAGAGTGGGGGGTCAACAGAAAGAGTTGGCGGTCAACGGAAAGAGTTGGGGGTCAACAGAATGAGTTGGGGGCAACGGAAAGAGTTGAGGGTCAACACGATGACTTAGGGGTCAACGGAATGGTCAATGGAAAGAGATGGGGGTCAACAGAATGAGTTGGGGGTCAACGGAATGAGTTGAGGTCAACAGAATGAGTTGGGGGTCAACAGAGTGGTCAGAAAGAGTTGGGGGTCAGGGGAATGAGTTGGGAGTCAACAGAGAGAGTTAGGGGTCAATGGAAAGAGTTGGGGGTCAATGGGATGAGTTAGGGGTCAACGGGATGAGTTGGGGGTCAACAGAGTGGCCAATGGAAAGAGTTGGGGGTCAACGGAATGAGTTGGGGTCAACAGAATGAGTTGGGGTCAACAGAATGACTTAGGGGTCAACGGAATGAGTTGGGGGTCAACAGAGTGGTCAATGGAAAGAGTTGGAGGTCAACGGAAAGAGTTGAGGGTCAATGGAAAGAGTTGAGGGTCAACGGAAAGAGTTGAGGGTCAACGGAAAGAGTTGAGGGTCAACGCAATGACTTAGGGGTCAACGGAATGAGTTGGGGGTCAACAGAGTGGTCAATGGAAAGAGTTGGAGGTCAACGGAAAGAGTTGAGGGTCAATGGAAAGAGTTGAGGGTCAACGGAAAGAGTTGAGGGTCAACGGAAAGAGTTGAGGGTCAACGCAATGACTTAGGGGTCAACGGAATGAGTTGGGGGTCAACAGAGTGGTCAATGGAAAGAGTGGGGGGTCAACGGAAAGAGTTGAGGGTCAATGGAAAGAGTTGAGGGTCAACGGAAAGAGTTGAGGGTCAACGGAAAGAGTTGAGGGTCAACGCAATGACTTAGGGGTCAACGGAATGAGTTGGGGGTCAACAGAGTGGTCAATGGAAAGAGTGGGGGGTCAACGGAAAGAGTTGAGGGTCAATGGAAAGAGTTGAGGGTCAACGGAAAGAGTTGAGGGTCAACGGAAAGAGTTGAGGGTCAACGCAATGACTTAGGGGTCAACGGAATGAGTTGGGGGTCAACAGAGTGGTCAATGGAAAGAGTGGGGGGTCAACAGAATGAGTTGGGGGTCAACAGAATGAGTTGGGGGTCAACAGAAAGAGTTGAGGGTCAAGGGAATGAGTTGGGGGTCAAGGGAATGAGTTGGGGGTCACCTTCTCCATCTTCTCCAGCCAGCCCTTGTTGGCCGCCAGCTCGGCAGCGAAGGCCTCGTGTTTCTGCCACTTGGTGTGAAGGTTCCGGGCCTCCTCGTAGGAGACGTCCTGGGCCGTCAGCATCTTCTCGTTGATCCAGAGAGTGAGCTGAGGGGACACGGGGACCGTCAGGAACGTCCCATCCCATCTCCATCCCATCTCAGTCCATCCCATCTCCATCCATCCCCATCCCATCCCAGTCCATCCCATCTCCAACCCATCTCCAACCCATCTCCATCCCATCCCATCTCCATCCCATCCCATCCCCATCCATCCCATCCCATCTCCATCCCCATCCCATCCCACCCCACCCCATCCCATCCCAGTCCATCCTACCCCATCCCATCCCATCTCCATCCCACCCCAACTCCATCCCACCCCATTCCATCCCATCTCCATCCCATCTCCATCCCATTCTGTCCCAGTCCATCCCACCCCATTCCACCCCATCTCCATCCATCCCATCTCATCTCCATCCCAGTCCATCCCACCCCATCCCCATCTCCATCCCATCTCCATCCCATCCCAGTTCCATCCCATCCCATCCCATCTCCATCCCATCTCATCTCCATCCCATCCCACCTCATCTCGATCCCAGTCCATCCCACCCCATCTCCATCCCATCTCCATCCATCCCATCTCCATCCCATCTCCATCCCAGTCCATCCCAGTCCATCCCACCTCATCTCCATCCCATCCCATCTTCATCCCACCCCATCCCAGTCCATCTCATCCCATCCCATCCCATCTCCATCCCATCCCAGTCCACCCCATCTCCATCCCAGTCCATCCCATCTCCATCCCCATTTCCATCCCACCCCATCTCCATCCCACCCCACCCCAGTCCATCCCAGTCCCACCCCACCACCCACCTCCTGCCCATCCTGCAGGAACCGCTGCAATTCCCAGTTATCCCGCAGCTTTCCCAGTAGCTCCTGGGCCATCTCCCGGTTCTTCCGGTGCCTGCAGAGAGGTTCATGGTGGGGTTGGAGGTCAGGGCTGGACCAGGGTCACCCCACGGTGGGTGGGGACCTCCCCCCGTCCCCCCCCTTTCACCTTCTCTCCACCGAATCCACCATCTCCTGCACCTTCTCGGCGTGGGGGCTGCCCTCGGCTACCAACTTGCGGCCGGTGGCTACCAAACCTTGGACTTTTTCTCCGGTGGCTTCCATGGTGGCCACGAAGTCCTCCAGCTTCTTGACGGAGGCTTCGGCTCCCGCCAATGTTCCCGGCATCTCCGTGTGGGACAAGACGTATTCCTGTCCCACCAGGACCAGGTGTCACCTCCAGGTGTCACCTCCAGGTGTGTGTGTGGTGTCCCCCTCCCCTCCTCAACCCTTTGGCCACCGTTCCCACCCCTTTGGTGGCCCCATCACCTGGTTGCTGAGGACTCCTTCCACCTGCTTGGAGTCGCGGAGGAAGAGTTGGAAGGCGAAGGCTTGGGAGAGGAGGTGGTGCCGGTTCTCCCACATCCTTCCCAGTTCCTCCCAACCCGTGTCCAAGGCTTCCAGACGTTGGTGGAGAAAGACGTGTTGGGCGTCCGTTTGACCTTGGGTGACTTGGTGACCCACGGCGCGGGTGGCCCGGTAGTCATCCCCGTAGTGGGCGATCTCCTTCCTCATGCTTTCGTGTTGACTCAAAGACCTCTCGGCTTCGGCCAAAGTGGCCGGGACGTCTTCTGAGGCCACCTCCCGTTGGGTCCTGGAGAGCCAAGCTTGGAAGGCGGCCAGGTCCCTCAAGAAACCTTGCAACTTGCTGGCCTCCCCCAAGGACTCTTCTCGACGCCGAAGGCTCCCCCGAAGTTCTTCCCAAACCTCCTCGATGGCCGTCAAGCGGGAGGAGAGGGTGGTCTTCTCCTCCGGGTGTTCGGTGGCCAACTTCTCCCCCTCGGCTCGGAGGTCCCGTACTTTCCCTTGGATGGCCTCCAGGTCCCTCTCCATGCCCGAGAGCTTGCGTTGCAAGGCCATGACGCCCGCCAGGTCGTTGCCCAAGCCTTGGGTGGACTCGATGACCTTGGTCTTCTCCCTCATCCAGGAGGTGGTTTCGTTACATTCCAAGTGGAAGTTCTGGATGTTCAAAGCCGAGGTCAAGGCTTCCTTCTTCTGGTCAGCCAATGCCCGGAACCGGTCCCACCTGAGCCACGAGATGGGTCAGGAATGGGCAAGGAGGTGGCCAACCCTGTCTCATGGCTACCTGGGGTGGAGGAACCCATCCTCCTGCCTGGAGAACACCTTCCTGGAGAACTCATCCCTTCCTGGAGAACCCATCCCTTCCTGAAGAACCCGTCCCAGCCTGGAGAACCCATCCCAGCTTGGAGAACCCATGGAGAACCCATCTCTTCCTGGAGAACCCATCCTTGGAGAACCCATCCCAACCTGGAGAACCCATGGAGAACCCATCCCTTCCTGGGAACCCATCCTTGGAGAACCCATCCTTGGAGAACCCATCCCAACCTGGAGAACCCATGGAGAACCCATCCCTTCCTGGGAACCCATCCTTGGAGAACCCATCCTTGGAGAACCCATCCCTGTCTGAAGAACCCATCCCTCCCTCCTTGGAACCCCTCTCCAACCTGGTGTTGAGCTGCTCGCAGGTGGCCCGGATGCTCTCCTGGTTGCCCCTCTCGGTGGCCAGCAGCTGTTGGGCCACGCGGTTGACGGCGGCCACCCGGGAGGCCAAGGTGTTCATCTCCGGCTCCAACGTCTCAAACCTTGGGGGACCGAAAACCACGGTGGCGATGGTGGTTGTGGTGGGACCTCAGCACCCCATGGCCTTGGGGACACACCATTGGGGTGGTGGGGTGGGGTGTGGGCCACCTCTCACCTCTGCTGGACCACCTCCAGGTCCTCCAGCTTGGCCGGGACCTCCATGGCGTGAAGCCACTGCTCCTTCTCCCCCACCCAGAGGCCGCAAGCGTCGGCTTCGCTCCTCATGGTGTAGAAAACCAAAGCGTCCTCCAAATCTTGTCCCCTCCCTTCCGCCCGGGCCACCAACTCCTGGTAACGCCGGTCCAGCTCCGGCAACCGTTGGGCCACCTCGGGACGGTTGGCCAAAGCCGGTGGCAAAGCTTTGGCTTGGTCTTGGAGAGCGTCGATGGCCGGCCGGTGGTTCCTCACCTCTTCTTGAACTTCCCGGTGTTGCCGGGCCAAGCTCCGAGTGGAATATTCATCGTGGCCCAACTCGGGGCTGGTGGCCAAACGGGAGGTGTCTTCTAGCCACCTCTCCACGTCGGTGGCCTCCGCTTGGAACTGGAAGAAGCCGGCGGCTTCCTTCAAACGTTTCTCCCGTTGGTTGGCCAACTCTCCCAACGCCTGCCATCGACCTTCCACCTCCACCACCCTTCGGGCCACCTCCGTTGACCCCAACCCTCCTTGGGCTACCAAATCTTTCCCTCGGGCTAGAACTTCTTCTAAAGAGGTGGCCCGGGCGCTCAGCTCGCCCCGGAAGGCGGCGTGTTGGCTCAAGAGACGTAAGGAACTGGTGAGGTCTCGGCCGACGTCTTCGGAGGAGAGGAGTCGTTCCTGCTCCCCCATCCAAGCTTCCTCCTCCCCGGCGTCCCAGAAGAACTTCCAGAGGCGCCGAGATTCCTCCAACCGGGAACGTCGCCGTCCGGCCAGTGCCACCAGTTCCCGGTAGCCCAGCTCCAGTTGGGCCACCCGTTCCCTCACGGCCGCCGGGTCGCAAGGTTGGTAGCCTGAGGAAGGGTGGGGTTGGGGACATCTTAAGGAATCATCCACCAGAAGGTGGTCCATCAAGGTGGGGGTCAAGGTTCAATGGGCGCCCACCAAGGGGGAGGTTGGGGACATCCCAAGGGGTCCAGGAGGCACCTCGGGGGGCTTGGGGACATCCCAAGGAGGGACATGCCAGGGGTTGGGGGTCCAGGAGGCATCTTGGAGGGTTTGGGGACATCCCAAGGGGTCCAAGGGGTCCAGAGGCCACCTCAGGGGGCTTGGGGACATCCCAAGGGGTCCAGGAGGCACCTCGGGGGGCTTGGGGACATCCCAAGGAGGGACATGCCAGGGGTTGGGGGTCCAGGAGGCATCTTGGAGGGTTTGGGGACATCCCAAGGGGGACCATCCCAAAGGGTCCAGGAGGTCCAGGAGGCACCTTGGAGGGTTTGGGGACATCCCAAGGGGTCCAAGGGGTCCAGAGGCCACCTCAGGGGGCTTGGGGACATCCCAAGGGGTCCAGGAGGCACCTCAGGGAGCTTGGGGACACCCCAAGGGGGGACATCCCAAGGGGTCCAAGGGGCCACCTCGGGGGTCTTGGTGACACCCCAGAAGTTTGGTGGCTCCAGAGGCCACCCCAAGTTCTGGGTGTCGGGGTCCCATGGGGCCACCTCGGGGGTGTGTCGGGGGGATGTCCCCCCCACCCCCTCGTGAGGTCACACTCACCTCCCGTGTCCCCAGCGAACCTCTGGGCGGTGGCACCCACCACCCGGACCCTCTCGGCCTGGGCGGCCACGTCGGCCTCCACCAGGGCGTGAAGCTGCAGGAGATCCTCCACCCCGTGGAGGTGCTTCCCCAGGTCCTGGGACTGGAGGCGGCACTGGGAGGGGTGGGGGGGACATCAGGGGGACATCAGGGGGACATCCAGGACCCCAACCCACCATCCCAATCCATCCCATCCCAGTTCCATCCCATCCCAGTTCCCATTCCCAACTTCAACCCATCCCATCCCAGTCCATCCCATCTCCAACCTCAACCCATCCCATCTCCAACCTCAACCCATCCCATCCCAGTCCATCCCATCCCAGTTCCCATTCCCAACCTCAACCTCTCCCAGTCCATCCCATCTTCAACCTCAACCCATCCCATCCCAATCCATCCCATCCCAGTTCCATCCCATCCCAGTCCATCCCATCTCCAACCTCAACCCATCCCATCTCCAACCTCAACCCATCCCATCTCCATCCCATCCCAGTTCCCATTCCCAACCTCAACCCATCTCCATCCCATCCCAGTTCCCATTCCCAACCTCAACCCATCCCAGTCCATCCCATCTCCAACCTCAACCCATCCCATCCCAGTTCCATCTCATCCCAGTTCTCATTCCCAACCTCAACCCATCCCATCCCATCTCCATCCCATCTCCAACCTCAACCCATCCCATCCCAGTCCATCCCATCTCCAACCTCAACCCATCCCATCCCAGTCCATCCCATCTCCAACCTCAACCCATCCCATCTCATCTCCATCCCATCCCAGTTCCCATTCCCAACCTCAACCCAGTCCATCCCATCTCCAACCTCAACCCATCCCATCTCCATCCCAGTTCCATCCCAGTCCATCCCAGTTCCCATTCCCAACCTAAACCCATCCCATCCCAGTCCATCCCATCTCCAACCTCAACCCATCCCATCTCATCTCCATCCCATCCCAGTTCCTCCCCATCCCCATCCCAATCCATCCCACTTCCCAGTCCCACCCCACCCCAACCCCATCTTCCTCTTCCTCCTCCTCCACCTTCATCTCCTCCATCCAGTCCATGAGGTGCCCCAGGTCCCTCAGCATCTTCTGCAGCTCCAGGTGGAGGCCCAACCTCTCCCGCCGGGCGGCCACCAGTTGCCGCAGGTGGTCCCACAGCCCCCCCACCGTGTCCCTCCTCCTCAGGACCCGCCGGATGTCGTGGTAGCCTTCGGCCTCCAACTCGGTGGCCACCGCCCCCACCGCCTGCACCCGCTCGCTGTAGGCCACGATGTCCGTCTCGATGGCCTCGTGCTTCCTCACCGCCGCCTCCACCGCCGACATGTCCGTCCCAAAATTGTCCTGGGGATGGGGTGAGGAACATCTCGAGGTCACCGAGGGGTGGTGGCACTGGAGGTGCAGGACCACCAAATACCTTGGGGTCACCAGGGGTGGTGGCACCGGGGAGGAGGACCCCCAAACACCTCCTGGTTGGTGGCACTGAGACCATCCCAAAGGGTCCAGGAGGTCCAGGAGGCACCTTGGAGGGTTTGGGGACATCCCAAGGGGTCCAAGGGGTCCAGAGGCCACCTCAGGGGGCTTGGGGACATCCCAAGGGGTCCAGGAGGCACCTCAGGGAGCTTGGGGACACCCCAAGGGGGGACATCCCAAGGGGTCCAAGGGGCCACCTCGGGGGTCTTGGTGACACCCCAGAAGTTTGGTGGCTCCAGAGGCCACCCCAAGTTCTGGGTGTCGGGGTCCCATGGGGCCACCTCGGGGGTGTGTCGGGGGGATGTCCCCCCCACCCCCTCGTGAGGTCACACTCACCTCCCGTGTCCCCAGCGAACCTCTGGGCGGTGGCACCCACCACCCGGACCCTCTCGGCCTGGGCGGCCACGTCGGCCTCCACCAGGGCGTGAAGCTGCAGGAGATCCTCCACCCCGTGGAGGTGCTTCCCCAGGTCCTGGGACTGGAGGCGGCACTGGGAGGGGTGGGGGGGACATCAGGGGGACATCAGGGGGACATCCAGGACCCCAACCCACCATCCCAATCCATCCCATCCCAGTTCCATCCCATCCCAGTTCCCATTCCCAACTTCAACCCATCCCATCCCAGTCCATCCCATCTCCAACCTCAACCCATCCCATCTCCAACCTCAACCCATCCCATCCCAGTCCATCCCATCCCAGTTCCCATTCCCAACCTCAACCTCTCCCAGTCCATCCCATCTTCAACCTCAACCCATCCCATCCCAATCCATCCCATCCCAGTTCCATCCCATCCCAGTCCATCCCATCTCCAACCTCAACCCATCCCATCTCCAACCTCAACCCATCCCATCTCCATCCCATCCCAGTTCCCATTCCCAACCTCAACCCATCTCCATCCCATCCCAGTTCCCATTCCCAACCTCAACCCATCCCAGTCCATCCCATCTCCAACCTCAACCCATCCCATCCCAGTTCCATCTCATCCCAGTTCTCATTCCCAACCTCAACCCATCCCATCCCATCTCCATCCCATCTCCAACCTCAACCCATCCCATCCCAGTCCATCCCATCTCCAACCTCAACCCATCCCATCCCAGTCCATCCCATCTCCAACCTCAACCCATCCCATCCCAGTTCCATCTCATCCCAGTTCTCATTCCCAACCTCAACCCATCCCATCCCATCGCCATCCCATCCCCAACCTCAACCCATCCCATCGCCATCCCAGTTCCATCCCAGTCCATCCCAGTTCCCATTCCCAACCTAAACCCATCCCATCCCAGTCCATCCCATCTCCAACCTCAACCCATCCCATCTCATCTCCATCCCATCCCAGTTCCTCCCCATCCCCATCCCAATCCATCCCACTTCCCAGTCCCACCCCACCCCAACCCCATCTTCCTCTTCCTCCTCCTCCACCTTCATCTCCTCCATCCAGTCCATGAGGTGCCCCAGGTCCCTCAGCATCTTCTGCAGCTCCAGGTGGAGGCCCAACCTCTCCCGCCGGGCGGCCACCAGTTGCCGCAGGTGGTCCCACAGCCCCCCCACCGTGTCCCTCCTCCTCAGGACCCGCCGGATGTCGTGGTAGCCTTCGGCCTCCAACTCGGTGGCCACCGCCCCCACCGCCTGCACCCGCTCGCTGTAGGCCACGATGTCCGTCTCGATGGCCTCGTGCTTCCTCACCGCCGCCTCCACCGCCGACATGTCCGTCCCAAAATTGTCCTGGGGATGGGGTGAGGAACATCTCGAGGTCACCGAGGGGTGGTGGCACTGGAGGTGCAGGACCACCAAATACCTTGGGGTCACCAGGGGTGGTGGCACCGGGGAGGAGGACCCCCAAACACCTCCTGGTTGGTGGCACTGAGGACCTCCAGACAGCTTGTGGTCACCAGGGGTGGTGGCACTGGGGAGGAGGACCTCCAGATGCTCCAAGGGTGGTGGCACTGGGGACCACCAGACACCTTGGGGTCACCAGGGGTGGTTGCACTGGGGAGGAGGACCTCCAGATGCTCCAAGGGTGGTGGCACTGGGGACCTCCAGACACCTTGGGGTCACCAGGGGTGGTGGAACTGGGGAGGAGGACCTCCAGATGCTCCAGGGGTGGTGGGACTGGGGACCTCCAGACACCTTGGGGTCACCAGGGGTGGTGGCACTGGGGAGGAGGACCCCCAAACACCTCCTGGTTGGTGGGACTGGGGACCTCCAGACATCTTGGGGTCACCAGGGGTGGTGGCACTGGGGAGGAGGACCCCCAAACACCTCCTGGTCGGTGGCACTGAGGACCTCCAGACACCTTGGGATCTCCAGAGGTGGTGGCACTGGGGACCACCAGACACCTTGGGGTCACCAGAGGTGGTGGCACTGGGGAGGAGGACCCCCATGTTCTCAGGGGTGGTGGCATTGGGGACCTCCAGACACCTTGGGGTCACCATGGGTGGTGGCACTGAGGAGGAGGACCCCCAAACACCTCCTGGTTGGTGGCACTGGGGACCTCCAGACAACTTGGTGTCACCAGGGGTGGTGGCACTGGGGACCACCAGACACCTTGGGGTCACCAGGGGTGGTGGCACTGGGGAGCAGGACCTCCAGATGCTCCAGGGGTGGTGGGACTGGGGACCTCCAGACACCTTGGGATCTCCAGAGGTGGTGGCACTGGGGAGGAGGACCCCCAAACACCTCCTGGTTGGTGGCACTGAGGACCACCAGATACCTTGGGGTCACCAGGGGTGGTGGCATTGAGGAGGAGGACCCCCAAACACCTCCTGGTTGGTGGCACTGAGGACCACCAGACACCTCAGGGTCACCAGGGATGGTGGCACTGGGGAGGAGGACCCCCATGTCCTCAGGGGTGGTGGAACTGGGGAGCAGGACCACCAGACACCTTGGGGTCACCAGAGGTGGTGGCACTGGGGAGGAGGACCCCCATGTCCTCAGGGGTGGTGGAACTGGGGAGCAGGACCACCAGACACCTTGGGGTCACCAGAGGTGGTGGCACTGGGGAGGAGGACCCCCATGTCCTCAGGGGTGGTGGAACTGGGGAGCAGGACCACCAGACACCTTGGGGTCACCAGAGGTGGTGGCACTGGGGAGGAGGACCCCCATGTCCTCAGGGGTGGTGGAACTGGGGAGCAGGACCACCAGACACCTTGGGGTCACCAGAGGTGGTGGCACTGGGGAGGAGGACCCCCATGTCCTCAGGGGTGGTGGAACTGGGGAGCAGGACCACCAGACACCTTGGGGTCACCAGAGGTGGTGGCACTGGGGAGGAGGACCCCCATGTCCTCAGGGGTGGTGGAACTGGGGAGCAGGACCACCAGACACCTTGGGGTCACCAGAGGTGGTGGCACTGGGGAGGAGGACCCCCATGTCCTCAGGGGTGGTGGAACTGGGGAGCAGGACCACCAGACACCTTGGGGTCACCAGAGGTGGTGGCACTGGGGAGGAGGACCCCCATGTCCTCAGGGGTGGTGGAACTGGGGAGCAGGACCACCAGACACCTTGGGGTCACCAGAGGTGGTGGCACTGGGGAGGAGGACCCCCATGTCCTCAGGGGTGGTGGAACTGGGGAGCAGGACCACCAGACACCTTGGGGTCACCAGACGTGGTGGCACTGGGGAGGAGGACTCCTAGACACCTTGAGTTCTCCAGGGATGGTGGAACTGGGGAGCAGGACCCCTGTCCCCTCGTGTCCCCAGGGTTGGTGGCAGTGGGGAGCGAGCCCCCCATCCCCTCCTGTCCCCCCACCCTTGTCCCCCCGGGGGGTGTCACCTGTGCCACCAGGCGCTGGTTCTCGCTGAGCCACGTCTCCCTCATGGCGGCCTTTCTGTCGAAGCGGGCGGCCAACTGCTCCAGCTTCTCCTGCCGGATGAGCTCCGTGCGCAGCGCCAGCTCCCGCTCGTGCTCCGCCTTCTCCAGCCGCTCCCACGCCTGAGACGGGACATCATCATCGTCATCAACAACATCAACATCATCATCATCATCAACATCATCTTCAACATCATCATCAACATCATCATCATCGTCTTCAACATCGTCTTCAACATCGTCATCACCTTCGACATCATCACCATCAACATCATCATCGTCATCATCATCAACATCATCAACATCATCAACATCATCTTCAACATCGTCATCAACATCATCAACATCGTCATCAACATCATCTTCAACTTCATCTTCAACATCATCGTCATCAACATCATCGTCATCAACATCATCGTCATCAACATCATCGTCATCAACATCGTCATCAACATCGTCATCAACATCGTCATCAACATGATCTTCATCATCATCGTCATCAACATCGTCATCAACATCGTCATCAACATCGTCATCAACATCGTCATCAACATGATCTTCATCATCATCGTCATCAACATCGTCATCAACATCGTCATCAACATCGTCATCAACATGATCTTCATCATCATCGTCATCAACATCGTCATCAACATCGTCATCAACATGGTCATCAACATGATCTTCATCATCATCGTCATCAACATCGTCATCAACATCGTCATCAACATCGTCATCAACATCGTCATCAACATGATCTTCATCATCATCGTCATCAACATCGTCATCAACATCGTCATCAACATCGTCATCAACATGATCTTCATCATCATCGTCATCAACATCATCTTCAACATCAACATCTTCAACATCATCAACATCATCTTCAACATCATCATCATCAACATCATCTTCAACATCATCATCAACATCAACATCATCAACATCATCAACATCAACTTCAACATCATCATCAACATCATCAACGTCACCATCATCATCATCAACATCATCACCATCACCAACATCGTCATCATCACCAACATCGTCATCAACGTCATCATCATCAACGTCATCAAACTTCATCTTCAACATCATCGTCATCAACATCATCGTCATCAACGTCATCGTCATCAACATCATCGTCATCAACGTCATCGTCATCAACATCATCGTCATCAACGTCATCGTCATCAACATCATCGTCATCAACGTCATCGTCATCAACATCATCGTCATCAACGTCATCGTCATCAACATCATCGTCATCAACGTCATCGTCATCAACATCATCGTCATCAACGTCATCGTCATCAACATCATCGTCATCAACGTCATCGTCATCAACATCATCGTCATCAACGTCATCGTCATCAACATCATCGTCATCAACGTCATCGTCATCAACATCATCGTCATCAACATCGTCATCAACATCGTTATCAACATGATCTTCATCATCATCGTCATCAACATCATCTTCAACATCAACATCTTCAACATCATCAACATCATCTTCAACATCATCATCATCAACATCATCTTCAACATCATCATCAACATCAACATCATCAACATCATCAACATCAACTTCAACATCATCATCAACATCATCAACGTCACCATCATCATCATCAACATCATCACCATCACCAACATCGTCATCATCACCAACATCGTCATCAACGTCATCATCATCAACGTCATCATCATCAACGTCATCATCATCAACGTCATCATCATCAACATCGTCATCAACATCATCATCAACGTCATCATCATCAACGTCATCTTCAACATCATCATCAACGTCATCATCATCAACATCGTCATCAACATCATCATCAACGTCATCATCATCAACGTCATCTTCAACATCATCATCATCATCAACATCATCATCATCAACGTCATCTTCAACATCATCATCATCATCATCTTCAACATCATCATCATCATCAACATCATCATCATCAACATCGTCAACATCAACATCATCAACATCAACATCATCAACATCACCAGCACCATTGTCATCTTCATCCCCATCATCCCCACCATCACCATCATCCCCATCATCCCCATCCCCACGACCATCATCATCATCAACATCATCAAAATCATCAAAATCATCTTCAACATCATCACCAACATCATCAGCATCACCAGCACCATTGCCATCCTCATCCCCATCCTCACCACCATCACCATCATCTCCATCACCATGACCATCACCATCATCAACCATCCTCATCATCTCCATCATCCCCATCCCTACCACCATCACCATCATCTCCATCCCCACCATCCCCACCACCATCACCTCCATCATCCTCATCCCCACCACCACCATCTCCACCATCCCCACGACCATCTCCATCACCACCATCCTCATCCTCCTCATGACCCCCATCCCTACCACCATCTCCATCTCCACCCTCCCCACCACCCCCCATCCCTGCCCCACCTTGTTGATGTCGGAGATGAGCTTCCCCTCCCGGGGCACGTAGACCTTCTGGTTGTTGGCCCTCATGCGGCTTTGGACGGTGAAGAGCAGCACCTCCAGGTTGCCCTTCTCCATGAACCTACGGGGTGGAGATGGTGGAGACCCCCGCTCAGCCCCACGGTGCCCCACAACCCCTTCTGGAGTCCACAACTTTCTGGTGGCTCCATAACTTTCTGGTGGGGCCGTGGGGCGGGGGTTGGGGGTCTCACTTGGGGGGTTTCTCCACCGTGCGGTAGGTGTTGAAGGCCTGGAGCTGGTTCTGGACCCCGGGGAGGGCGTTGGCCAAGTGCCGGTCGTTGAGGATGAGGATGGTCTGCTCGATCCAAGCCAGGAGCTCCCCCGCCAGCTCCTCGTACTTCTCCACCAGCGCCTCCGCCTCCCGCGCCGCCTCCAGCACCTGCCACCACGTCCATCTGTCCACCCGTCTGTCCCACCACCCCTCTGTCCATCCCTTGGTCCCTCGTCTCCTTCTCCATCCCTTGCTCCCTCCATTGTCCCTCCCGATGGCTCCTGCCGGTGCTTCCTCCTGCCCGTCTGTCCCCCCACCCCTCTGTCCATCCCTTGGTCCCTCGTCTCCTTCTCCATCCCTTGCTCCCTCCATTGTCCCTCCCGATGGCTCCTGCCGGTGCTTCCTCCTGCCCGTCTGTCCCCCCACCCCTCTGTCCATCCCTTGGTCCCTCGTCTCCTTCTCCATCCCTTGCTCCCTCCATTGTCCCTCCCGATGGCTCCTGCCGGTGCTTCCTCCTGCCCGTCTGTCCCCCCACCCCTCTGTCCATCCCTTGGTCCCTCGTCTCCTTCTCCATCCCTTGCTCCCTCCATTGTCCCTCCCGATGGCTCCTGCCGGTGCTTCCTCCTGCCCGTCTGTCCCCCCACCCCTCTGTCCATCCCTTGGTCCCTCGTCTCCTTCTCCATCCCTTGCTCCCTCCATTGTCCCTCCCGATGGCTCCTGCCGGTGCTTCCTCCTGCCCGTCTGTCCCCCCACCCCTCTGTCCATCCCTTGGTCCCTCGTCTCCTTCTCCATCCCTTGCTCCCTCCATTGTCCCTCCCGATGGCTCCTGCCGGTGCTTCCTCCTGCCCGTCTGTCCCCCCACCCCTCTGTCCATCCCTTGGTCCATCATCTCCTTCTCCATCCCTTGGTCCCTCATCTCCTTCTGCATCCCTTGGTCCCTCCATTGTCCCTCCCAATGGCTCCTGCCGGTGCTTCCTCCTGCCCATCCCTCTGTCCTTCTGTCCCACCACCCCTCTGTCCATCCCTTGGTCCATCATCTCCTTCTCCAACTCTTGGTCCATCATCTCCTTCTCCAACTCTTGGTCCATCATCTCCTTCTCCAACTCTTGGTCCATCATCTCCTTCTCCAACTCTTGGTCCATCATCTCCTTCTCCAACTCTTGGTCCATCATCTCCTTCTCCAACTCTTGGTCCATCCCTTGGTCCATCATCTCCTTCTCCATCCCTTGGTCCCTCCATTGTCCCTCCCGATGGCTCCTGCCGGTGCTTCCTCCTGCCCGTCTGTCCCACCACCCCTCTGTCCATCCCTTGGTCCATCATCTCCTTCTCCAACTCTTGGTCCATCCCTTGGTCCACCATCTCCTTCTCCATCCCTTGGTCCCTCCCTTGTTCCATCATCTCCTTCTCCATCCCTTGGTCCATCCCTTGGTCCACCATCTCCTTCTCCAACTCTTGGTCCATCCCTTGGTCCACCATCTCCTTCTCCAACCCTTGGTCCATCCCTTGGTCCCTCATCTCCTTCTCCATCCCTTGGTCCCTCCATTGTCCCTCCCGATGGCTCCTGCCTGTCCATCTGTCCATCCCTCCCACCCTCTGTCCATCCCTTGGACCTTCTCCCATCCATCCATCCATCCATCCATCCATCCATCCATCCCTTTGGACCTTCATCCACCTTCTCCTCCTCCCTCCATCCCTCCGTCTGTCCCTCCCCGTGTCCCCCCCACCCAATGTCCATCTGTCCCCCCCTTGGTGTCCATCCATCCATCTGTCCCTCCCTCACCTTCCCCACGCGCTTCCCCTCCACCGCCAGGGCCTTCATCTTGGAGAAGTAGTGGTAGAAGGTGGCCACGTAGGTGATGATGGACTTCTCATCCGGCTGGTCCACGTTGACATCTGCTCGGTTTTGGGGTAGGGAAGCAGAAAGGTGACCCCATGGAGCCCCCCACATCCTCCACCCCACATCAGCCTCCGCCCCACATCATCTTCTTCTGCCCCACATCATCATCCTCACCTTCCGGGTCCAGCAGCTTGGTCAAACCCAACTCCCTCTCGGCCAAGTTGAAGGCGCTTTGGAGGTTGTAGTGGGCGTTGCAGCGGCGCAGGGTGTCCATGTCCACCAGGTCCGGCCTGGGGTGGCAAGCACAGGCTCTGCCCCACATCCTCCGCCCCATAGATCGCCCCACATCCCACCCCACAACCCATCTTCTGCCCCACATCTCCATGTGATGCACCCCAAGCCACCCATCAAGCATCCTGCGTCCCATCTGGATGTCACCATCTGCCCCACAGACCCCTACCCTGTGCCCCACAGCCCCTGCCCCACATCCCCTGCCCCATAGATTGCCCCACACCCCGCCCCACGCCCTGCCCCACACCTGTGCTTGTGGATGATGGCGTTGAAGGCCAACCCGTCCCTCCAGCTGGTGGTGAAGTTGTGGACGTTGACGTCGGGGTACCTGCCGTGGGGCCAGGGTGGGGGGCTCAACCTGGGACCCCCAAGTGACACCCTGCCCCACATCCCACCCCACATCCTGCCCCACACGTACCCCGCCGTCTTCATCTGGCACCAGAGGAGCAGCGCGTCCTTGGCCGACTTCTTCTCCTTGTTGTCCTCGCTCTCCACGCTGATGTCCTGGATCTGGGGGGGGGCAGAGGTGTGGGGCAGAGACGTGGAGCCCCCCATCAGACTCCAGGACCCCCAAGGTGGGGTCAAGACCCCCCCAGAAGATCCAGGAACCCCCATGATGGGTCCAGGACCACCATGATGGGTTCAAGAACCCTTTGAAAGACCCAAGAACCTCCAGAGAAGATCCAGAACCTTCATGATGGGTCCAGAACCCCCACATCAGACTCTGGGACCCACAAGATGGGTTCTGGGACCCCAAAGTTGGTTCAAGACCCCCCCTAGAAGATCCAGGAACCCCCACAGAAGATCCAGGAACCCCATGGAAGGTCCAGGACCACCATGATGGGTCCAGGAACCCCATAGAAGATCTAGGACTCCCAGAAGCCCCACGTGGAGCCCCACATCAGACTCCAGGACCCCCAAGGTGGGGTCAAGACCCCCCCTAGAAGATCCAGGAACCCCCACAGAAGATCCAGGAACCCCATGGAAGGTCCAGGACCACCACGATGGGTTCAAGAACCCTTTGGAAGACCCAAGAACCTCCAGAGAAGATCCAGGACCCCCATGATGGGTCCAGAAGCCCCACATCAGACTCTGAGACCCACAAGGTGGGTTCTGGAACCCCAAAGTGGGTTCAAGACCCCCCCTAGAAGATCCAGAAACCTCCATGATGGGTCCAGGACCACCATGATGGGTTCAAGAACCCCATGGAAGACCCAAGAACCTCCAGAGAAGATCCAGAACCTTCATGATGGGTCCAGAAGCCCCACATCAGACCCCAGGACAACCCCCCCACACTTTCATTTTGGGGTCTCCCCCCCCCAACTTGGGGCGTGGGGGTCACCTGGAAGCGGAGGATGATGGTCCAGACGAGGCCCAGGGTGAGGCGGTGGTTGCCATCCACGATGTCGTGGGAGCCCACGTTCTCCAGGTGGACCCTCTGCTCCTTCAGGAAGGTCAGGGCCTTCTCCACGTTCTCCAGGCAGTGGATCCGCATCCGTCCCTTGGTGGGCTTGGGCTGGGGTGGGGGGGACACACAGTTGGGGACCCCCCCAGAAGGTGGGATGGGGGTCCCAGAGGGTGGAGGTCCCAAGAAAGGGGGTTCTTGGGGTTGAAGGTCCCAGGGAGGTGGGTTCTTGAAGGTTGCAGGAGCTGGAGGTCCCATTGAAAGGGGGTTCTTGGGGGTCCCAGGGGTTGGGGGGAAGGGAA